GCCCGACGCGAGATCGCCTCCGCTCGTCGAAGAAGCAGCTCCACACGCCGTAGTGTTCGGCGTAGACGGAGCAGAGCCAATCGAGGAGACACCAAGGCCAGAAGCTCTCGACCTCCTTTTGACAGCAGGCAACAAGCCAGCAGCATCCCTTATGTACTGATCCCGCCTACGGCAATAGGCGGGCTCACGCCTTTTATCTCGGATCTGTTTGAGAGTTTTAGCGGGAAGTGCTGCCACAATTCTTTGGACAATATCTGGGTCACCCCTATGACTATGCTCGAGTTGGAGCATCATCACAATCTCCTCAGCCGCAAAGCTGCCACCATCCCGAATTGCCCTGGTGGTCGGCTGAGCGGAAGCCTCACGCTCCGCATTTCTCATAATGGGATGACGATGTCTCTTGTGTTGGGTAAGACCTCTCTGAGACAGAAATGACTCGGTGCACTCCGGGCAAGGAAAAGGACCCGGAGCCCGGGCCCCAGGACACTTCGGGATGTGGCACAAAAGGGCGTGTTTAGTCGTGTAAGCTTTTCGGCATTTACGGCACTCGAACGATACCCCAAACGACGAGTGCTTCTCTGCATGGTGGCTTAATGCGTCATTTAAACTCAATGAGAGATAACGCGCTCTATCCTTCTCGGTACATAAGGGGCAATTCGTAGGCTCAAAGGGCAAAAGAATAATCATAGTCCGTTGGAGCGCTTGGTTGTCATCTGTGGTCCCCTTCAATTCCTGACGCGCGGGACATTGCGCGTTTAGGTCCGAGGCTTTAAGAGAGTCATAGTTACTCCCGCCGTTTACCCGCGCTTGCTTGAATTTCTTCACGTTGACATTCACAGCACTGGGCAGAAATCACATTGCGTCAACACCCGCGAGGGCCATCGCAATGCTTTGTTTTAATTAGACAGTCGGATTCCCCTAGTCCGTGCCAGTTCTGAGCTGAGCGTTGAATGGCGGCCGAAGAGGACGACCACGACGGCTCGCGCCGCCACGGAAGCCTCGCAGCAAGGAAGATCCGCGGGAGGCCAAGGCACGGGACCGAGCTCGGATCCCGGGACCGGCGCGAGAACGCTGACCGTTCACCTCGCCCAGGCCCGGCACGTCAGCCAGACCCGCTTCCCGACTAAGCCCGACACGCCCCGCTCCTCAGAGCCAATCCTTATTCCGAAGTTACGGATCCAATTTGCCGACTTCCCTTACCTACATTATTCTATCGACTAGAGGCTCTTTACCTTGGAGACCTGCTGCGGATATGGGTACGAACCGGCGCGACACCTCCACGTGGCCCTCTCCTGGATTTTCAAGGTCCGAGGGGAAGATCCGGACACCGCCGCAACTGCGGTGCTCTTCGCGTTCCAAACCCTATCTCCCTGCTAGAGGTTTCCAGGAAACTCGAATGCTTATACAGAAAAGAAAACTCTTCCCGGATCTCCCGACGGCGTCTCCAGGTCATTTTGGGTTACCCCGACGAACACTCTTACAAGGGCCCGAATTGTATGCGGTTCCGCTGCCGGGTTCCGGAATAGGAACCGGATTCCCTTTTGCCCGACGGGCGTGTGTCTTTCGTATAATATTTATTATTATTTCTCGACACTCGAGTATATTGTACGCCGTCATTGACATAGGATTTCTCCTAGGCTTAGGATCGACTGACTCGTGTGCAACGGCTGTTCACACGAAACCCTTCTCCACGTCAGTCCTCCAGGGCCTCGCTGGAGTATTTGCTACTACCACCAAGATCTGCACCGACGGCGGCTCCAGGCAAGCTCGCGCCCAGACTTTTCTGCGCTCACCGTCGCGACCCTCCTACTCGTCAGGGCTTCGTGACGACGCGAGAGAAGACTAACGCCCGCTCCCGGTTGCCGCCCCACTTGCCACTGACGGCAGAGTATAGGCTCGACGCTTCAGCGCCATCCATTTTCAAGGCTAGTTGCTTCGGCAGGTGAGTTTTACACACTCCTTAGCGGATTCCGACTTCCATGGCCACCGTTCTGCTGTCTTAAGCAACCAACGCCTTTCATGGTGTCCCATGAGCGTCGAGTTGGGCGCCTTAACTCTGCGTTTGGTTCATCCCACAGCGCCAGTTCTGCTTACCAAAAATGGCCCACTTGGCACTCTGATTCGAAGATGCTCGTGGCTTCATAATTCAAGAAAGCCAGAGATCTCACCCATTTAAAGTTTGAGAATAGGTTGAGGTCGTTTTGGCCCCAAGGCCTCTAATCATTCGCTTTACCAGATGAGACTCGCGCGCGTTCCGTGCGGAACGGCCGAGTGCCAGCTATCCTAAGGGAAACTTCGGAGGGAACCAGCTACTAGATGGTTCAATTAGTCTTTCGCCCCTATACCCAGTTCCGACGATCGATTTGCACGGACTCCGCGGGACATCGCCGACCGACGCGAAGCCAGCGCCGCTGACGATGAATCTCCCCGTTCGATCTTTTGGGTTTCTTAGGTTTACCCCTGAACGGTTTCACGTACTCTTGAACTCTTTTTCAAAGTTCTTTTCAACTTTCCCTCACGGTACTTGTTCGCTATCGGTCTCGTGGTCGTATTTAGCCTTAGATGGAGTTTACCACCCACTTAGAGCTGCACTCTCAAGCAACCCGATTCTAAGGAGAGATTCTCCGAGGCGCGCACCGGTCGCAACGGGCCTGGCACCCTCTACGGGTAAGTGGCCCCATTCAAGATGGACTTGGACGCGACGCGGCACCTCGGGATAAGCGGATCCTTTCGAACACCACATTTCCCTGCGGCGGAACCGCGGGATTCGGTGCTGGGCTCTTTCCTGTTCGCTCGCCGCTACTAAGGAAATCCTGGTCAGTTTCTTTTCCTCCGCTTAATAATATGCTTAAATTCAGCGGGTAATCTCGCCTGCTCTGAGGTCGTCGCATAGTGAGTTTTCGTAGCCGTTTGCCTCCTCCGCGTCGCTCATCGTCGTCTCTCCTCTATAATATATAAGAGGGAGAGAGAGAGAGCGTCGACGAGAGAGCAGCAGCGGCAGCACACGAAATACGCGAGAAGGCAAATCGCCGGGGCGCTAACCGCACACACACTCGTTGGTGGTAATGGAGACGATATATCGCGGGGTTCGAAATTCTCGGCTCTCCTTTCTCTTTATATACGAAATTCGGGCGGAATCGATTCGACGAGTACACGACGCGGCGCGCCGGTCCTTTTTTTTTGCTTTACGAAAATTTCGTGGACTCGGACACGCGGTCGGCTCGCGATTCAAAACCCTTCTCCGTAAAGAGGTAAAGGATTACGAATGCTCTCTCCGCCGGACGACGACGCGCCGTATATTTCTCCGTAATACCGTTATGTGTGCGGGCAAGGGCGCCTCGGCATAAGACGCGCGAGCGCTATCGCACCGAGAGACGCGGCACAGAGTGCGAGAGCAGTCGGTCAGTCTGTGTGATGTACGGAGAGGAGAGACGGTGAGACATGCGCTACCTACTTTCGGGAGACAACGACGCACGCGCCGCTCTAGGGAAAGCGGTGCCATTCACCGCCCTGACCCTTTTTTTGGCCGTTTGTTGCTCCCTTCGCGCGCGCTCTTACTCTCATCCCATTTCTCCTCGGCTCTCGCGTACACACACGACTTGGATACACAAACACGCTCCCCCTCTTAATTCGCGCAGCATTCTCTGGGCGCGCGTTCGCCAACGTTTTACACGCTTGTGCGCTTCTCTTCTCATTATTATTTCGGTGTGTCATTTCAGACGACGCAAGGATTTGCGCCGCGGCTGGTCGGCGCGGCACAGACACCTCGGGCGAACGTCCAACGATCGCTCGTACGCCCATTGTAAGCGTTGCACAGAGCACAGGCGACGCGCGCGCCATTCTCTGGTCGCCCGCGTCGTGGCCGTGCGCGCTTTTCGGGCGCAAGCAGTTTAGGGGTACTAAAACGACTCTCAGCCAGGCGTGGTCCGGGAATTGTATCCGTGGACCGCAATGTGCGTTCGAAATGTCGATGTTCATGTGTCCTGCAGTTCACAAGTTGTGCGAGAACCTTCGATTTGTTTTAATTTTCCGCGCAGAGGCAAATTTATTTATTTATAAGTCGGCTCGTAGATACGAAGGAGACTGGATGCGGAGAAAATTGTAAAGGTGGAGAAATTCACTTTTGAGGCAAAGCAGTTTTATTCAAAACTCTCGCAGACAAGATTAAAACGCGGAAGTTCGCTCTAGAACGAGATAAATTCGCGCGATGCTCTTTTCGCTGATATACACGGAGACGTCTCTTCAGTTCAGACTCCTCGAGTAGACTCATTTTTGATCCTCGCGGAATTCGGCAGCTAAGGGGGCGATCGATCATCCGATCGACGCGTGGCACACGTGCTGAAATCCTATTCGCGGACGATTGCCCCATCACGCTCCGAAACGCGAGACAAAGGCGAGTTTTTGTAGATTCCTCGCTCGCGGAATCGAAAACAACCGGAATAACATCTCGGCGTCGAATATTTTCAATTTCTACGATTAACCTTGCTTCGTCGCTCCGAAAATACGTGACAATTTTAAACATACCGCCCGCCTCGCATTTGAACGTATGCGAATATGCGAAATATAGCCAACGGTAGTCTTCAACGTACGATGAAGACAATAAATCAATTTTCAATCAACCAAGAAATCAAACAAGAGATCAATGCAATAATTTCTTGCGATCGAATAACGAGGGCAAGTAATCAGAAGGTGAAAAAACCTTTTACAATTTTCGAGTAAATATTTCTAAATTATAAAGACGCTCTCAATTTTCAATAGGCACTGAGCCTTAGCAAATATTCGCCTCTTTCGGCTGTTACGCAAATACAATTATACATGTTTCGAAATTCTACCGACAATGCGATGGGTCGAATAACAAAGTCATAAATGCGATACCTGGCTCGAAAACCACGCCGAAGAGGAGAATATTGCCTAACATAGTAGATTTTGACGCTAAATACATAAATCACACCCGAAATTTATCAAATAATTACAATCTAAGTTTAACGCAAGTACAATTTTCAAATATTGCTATTGATTGGCAGCCGGCACAGTAGCGTAATTGGTCGTTTCAGGATCGAGCTCGCAGTTCTCACCGTAACTACTCGCACGAGTCCATCCGAGCCGGGATGAATCTGCGTGACTCGCGCTAGGTTCCACTTGCTCGGAGGGAGCAAGGGATTCTTCAACAAGGCGAGTTCTCCTATGCGAAAACAAGACGTTTTTTCCGACCACTTACGCCGCTGCTGCAGGGAGTGCAAGTAGTCTTGTGACCACGAGCGCCAAATCTGTTCGACTAAAGAATGGACCATCTGCCATCGCGATAGTCGATTCGCATTACTTTCGAGCACTGACTCCTCCGGTATCGCAATTATGGGGCGCCCGATCAGGAAATGACCCGGAGTGAGTGCCGATAGGTCACTCGGATCGTCGCTTAATGCCGCGATCGGACGAGAATTTAAGCACGCCTCGATTTGGCATAATAACGTCGCGAATTCGGCCTGTGACAGAGTTCGCGAACCGGCGACTCGTTTTAAGTGCGACTTGAGACTTTTGATTCCCGCCTCCCATAGCCCACCGAAGTGAGGAGCCGCAGACGGAATGAAGTTCCATTCAATTTTGTCATTTGCAAGGATGTCGTGCAGTGACGAATCCTTCATCAAGGCGCTGAACGCGTCGTTCAATTCCTTGTCAGCCCCGTGGAAGTTCGTTCCATTATCGCTATATAGCTTGGACGGCAAGCCCCTTCGGCTCACAAATCGCCGAAAGGCGGCGAGGAACCCAGCGCTAGAGTAGTCTTCGACTAGCTCTACGTGGATTGCTTTCGTGACGAGGCAGATGAACAAAGCTATATAATTTTTTCTGGTTTTTTGGCCTCTGCCAACGAACGGCGTGACTAAGAAAGGGCCAGCATAATCCACTCCCGTATGAGCAAATGGAGACGACGGATTGACGCGTGGAGACGGGAGGTCTCCCATGAATTGGCTCGAAAGTTTAGCCGAGTGACGTACGCAAGGGATGCATTGTCTTATATATCCCTTGACGGAGTTTCGCCCTCCCATTAACCAATAATTCTGACGAAGGGTGCGCAGCACGATTTGAACTCCACCGTGGAGTGTACTCTTATGAGCTTGAGCGATTAGAAGGTAAGCGAGTTGTCCGCGCGGCACGATTACGGGATGTTGCTCATCGTAGCTAAGAGCGGAGTGTCGCAACCGCCCGCCAAGCCGGAGTACCGAATCTTTTCCTAAGAATGGAGCAAAAGTTCGAAGGGAACTCTTTTTTGAAATCGTGGCAGTCTTTTGCAAAGTTTTGAATTCGACCTTGAAAGCTCTCCGCTGGACATAAGACAGCCAGAATTGCTCGGCCCGTTTAAGCTCGTCGACGCTCAGTGTCGAATCTTTTTTAAATTTACGAACCTTTTCCTTCCGCAGTAAGGCGAGAAACCTGTGGACGTAAGCCGTCACTCGGACGAGCTTCGTCCAACTTGAAAATTTGTAAAGTAGATCCCACTCTTCTTCACCTTCAATGTGAAGAACTTTGGTTTTTCGCAGTTCAGCTGAAACTTGCTGTAGTTCATTAGTGGGTCTAGTATTCGTCATATCATGAATCGGCCAAGCCGTTGAAGGTTGCCGAAGCCATGGTGGTCCCGTCCACCATAGCGAATGCGACACTAACTCAGACGCGGATAGCCCGCGCGACGCACAATCCGCCGGGTTCTCTGCCGATGGTACGTGACTCCACCGAGTAGATGGCAAATTGTTCTGTATTTCAGCCACGCGGTTGGCCACGTATGTGTTCCACTTTGATGGGTGCTGGCGCAACCACGCCAGAGCTATCGTGGAATCCGTCCAACAATGGATCGGAGTTCCAACTAACTGCAACGAATTAACAGTCCACTTTACGAGGCGACTCAATAACACTACCGCGTTTAACTCTAGACGCGGGATGCTCACGGTTTTCACGGGCGCGACTTTGTTTTTGCTGCGATTAAATTTATTGCGAAGTCTGAAAGCGAATGATAGACGCGAAGATATACGACGGCGGCATAAGCTCGATTTGACGCGTCAGCGAAACCGTGTATCTCTAGCGCGAGAGTTTGTGGACCTTGACCAGTCCACCGTGGAATTTTGATCATTTCTAATTTGTGAAATTCTGATACAAAATAATTCCAACGGGACGTTAACTCATCGGAGATGAGAGAGTCCCATTCGCAATGTAACAACCACAGCTCTTGAAGTATTATTTTTGCCACGATCACGACGGGAGCGGCCCATCCGAGAGGGTCGTAAAGCCTCGCGATAAATGAAAGAATTGAGCGTTTGGTAGGAACGCTGGGGGTGGTCGAGTTCACGACCAAGCGAAACACGTCTTCGTTAGGCATCCATGACAGGCCGAAAACTTTAAGGGGAGATATACATCTAGGAGCCGGAAAAAAAGGTCATCTTTGTGAATTTTTTTAAGGAAAACTATTTGAAATTTCGGATTGGGGGTTTTTCTATCTAAAAGTATACACATTCAGGAATATGTCCAATTTTTTTTATTAAAAAAAATCAAAAATTGACGAGGTTGTGGTATAATCTTTGGAGCGCCGTAAGAAAATCCGGGTAAACGGTACCCACTGGCGTTTCTTCAAAAATCATCTGAAACAAAAAAACCAAAAAGATTATTAAATTAGATACTATAATCTAGTACTTGTCATAGCCGATTTTGAAAATATCGATTTATGACAAAATGGCGGACGTTTGAACATAACATAGCGATTTTTCGACCAAAAATTAGTTATTATTTTGCCTATAAAACAAAAACTAAGCAACGAAAAAAAAATCCTATGACAAGTACTAGATAATGATGTATAGAATAACCACAAAAAAATTCAAGGCAATCGGTTCATTGGTTTTCGAGAAATTTTGGGTACCGATTTGAAAAACGTGGTTTTGAGAAAAACGCGTTTGAAAATTTGGGAATGAATAAATCATTAAATTTGTCAACTTACATGGAATCATCGATACCAGGCCCATAGTGTAAGTCTTCTACGGTCGACGGAATGTTCATATTTTCTAAATTTTGTTGTCGGCGCCGTATTCGACCTTCTTTAGTCTGTTCTTGCGCTTGCAGCTCGGCTTTCGCTATGCGAGTTTCGTCTTCTTGCGCAGCGTACAAGTGCGCGCCCGATCCGACTGATATTCCTAATACGTTCATAATTTCTAACAATGACGTGACACCATTGTTGAACGTGCATGTTGCAAGAAATGCAGCAATGTTAACAATTTTGGCCCCGCTGTGCATCGTTTTTGGAGCTATCTTCCAAATAAGTTGGTTGAAGCTCTCATTGCTGTTTTGTGTGTATCCGCCAACACAGCGTTCCAACAATTTGTCATTGCTGAGGTCTTCGTAAATTGGTTTGATGGGATCTAACACCGTTTTTGGCAATGCTGAATAATCGTGACGGAAATTCCTCAGTTCTCCTTTAGCTTTCGCTTGTTGCCACTTGCACCACGATTCCGGGCCTTCGGGACAAAAATGATGTTTAGGCTTGCTGTCTGTTGAGCCGTAATGGTAGAATGTTGCCCATATCGCTTTTTTCATGTCATCCTTGGAGTTACTGTTTCTTCGAATGGCTAAGCCATAGTAAATGCTCAGTTTGTCTATAAACTTTGCCGTCAATTTGTTTTTGCCGCCGATTCCAGGATTTTTTTTCTTGCATTCGCGAAGACGGGTTCCCATTCGCTTTTGAACGTGTCCCACGCATTCTTTTTTATAATCTCAATCTCATCACCATACGGTTTCGCATTCACTAATCCCGTGTACGTCTTAGAGTCGCCATCCCCGACGTAATTAATGTACATAACTCCATGCTTTTCGACAGATCTTGAAAATAATTCCTTCATGGCGTCTACTTCCATTTTGCCTGCCGATCCGACATGATTCGCCTGGCAATTTTCTTCGTGATTAGATTTCCATTCCTGATATTGCTCGGTATTGACGTGTTTATTCCAATAGTTGCATTCAACACAATAAGCAGACTTTACAATGAAATCAACGACTTTTCCTGTCAAGTGACCAATGAGAACCGCAACTCCATATAATGAGGTAAAACCACGTTTTCGCCACGTACCATCTCCTGAAATGGTCAGTTTTTTGATATCATCACTCGAATTTTGTTTTATTATTTCCTGTTGTTTTTCTTTTACAGCTTGTTTTAACACCAATTGAACAATACTTGAAGCAGCAGAATAAATGTTCTCAATTATCATATCATACGTCGTTTGTTGAACCGGAGGCGGTAAATCCATGAGGCCACAAAATTTCATAGCTCCACGCAAACCAATCCCCAATAAACGCATAACAAAAAAGAATCGTGTATTTATTTCGTAAGCAGTCTTGATGTACGGGCACGAAGGAATAAAAGTCGGTTTGCACGATGAACACGAAACTACAATTTTAAAACCGAGCCCTCGAGTGCTTTCTATTGAGAATCGAACATCACTATCACACTTTTTGCATTTTACACATTCCGATAAGGCAGAAAACACTGCCAGAAAATTCAAAATTCGATACCCGATGTTTGGATCTTCTGGTGCGGATGTCTCACGATCAGTCTTCAATTTTTTGGCACTGGAACTAATATTCTCGTCGGAAAGTTCTACTTTTTTGGCAGTATTTCGATTTTTGGGCGGTATCTTCTTCTTGCTTCGATCTTTGCGAAAAGATCCGGATTGATGAGCTTCCCGAGAACCTTTATATCTGTTATCCATTTTCCTCAGAATATGTATTCACAGACGAAAACTCACTGTAACGCACAGTTGCACGAACGGCAAGTTACTGACGAAACGCGTCCAATTTCCGGCAAAGAATAACGGTCGTGTGATATTTGCGTTATACCTGGACCCGACCACGCCCGAAAACACAATAGAATCGTAAAACAGGTCTAGACACGCTCTCTTCGAAGGGTCGCTGCCTCTCGGCTCGGCCGCAAAACAGGCGGTACGGCGCGCTCGGTTTACGGCTGTCTCTTCGTTATTTATCGAGATATTGACTTGCAATTTTAAAAATTATTCTTGAGACCTCAAGCATCAAGCATGCAAAAAAAAATCGATTTTTTCGACCATGCTAGGTGTATATCTCCCCTTAAGTGAATCTTCCGTCAGGATTAGATGATCGGTTACTTCCGATTGGTCAACAGACAAATCCTTGAGAAGTTCGATCGAATTTGATGCCCATTTCCTTAATTGAAATCCCCCCTTTTCCATTAACTGCATCAATTGAACGCGAGTATTTTTTAAAGATTTTATATCATCCGCGCCAAACAGGGCGTCGTCTACATAAATAGACTCTCCTAGGATAGGAACCGCGGCCTTGAACTTTTCTCCCTCGTCAAGGGCGAGCTGTTTCAATACTCGCATTGCGAGATACGGAGCGGGAGCGAGACCGTAAGTGACCGTTAACAAGCGAAAATGTCGAACGGGCGCTTCCGCTTGAGGACGCCAAAGAATTCTTTGGTAGTCTGAATCTTGCTCATGAATTTGAATTTGCCGAAACATCTTGGCGATGTCGGCCGTACAGACGAAGCTCCACCGTCGCCATCGCGATAACACGGCAGGTAGATCTTGCTGTAATTTGGGCCCTATTAATAAAAAGTCATTCAACGACGTGCCATTCCTAGTTCGGCACGACGCGTTGAAAACGACCCGTAATTTAGTCGTGCAACTATCTTCCCGAATCACGGGGTGGTGCGGAATGTAAACGGGCAAATACTCAGTTTTTTCCGACTCGTCGACGCTAGTCATATGTCCGAGGGACTCGTATTCCGCTAGAAATTCGTTATACTGCGAATACAGTTCCGATCGATTTCTCAATCTGTTTTCCATGCGGTTGTACAGCGACCGCGCAATGGAAAGAGACTCTCCGATTTCGATCGGAGGATCACATTTAAAGGGTAGTCGAACGACGTATCGTCCGTCGGACAACCGACTATGCGTCTGCACGAAGTGTCGCTCACAAATCTCTTCCTCCTCCGTGAGGGGAATTTGAGGCGCGATCTCCTCATCTTCCCAGAACCGCTGGAGAAGAGTGTCTATCTCTTGACCGAGAACGCAATTTAAAACGGCTTCTTTTGAAGCCTTCCGTTTATTTTCGGTCGGACCGGAAATAATCCAACCGAGCGCGGTTAGTTGAGCTGTGGGGGTACCGAGCGGACCTTGCCTCAAGTCGCGCATCAAAAGTGAGCCATAAACGTCGGCTCCAAGAAGCAAGTGAATTTGATGTTTGCTCGACGGATCCGGATCCGCGAGGGAAAGGCCCTTCAAGTGAGGCCACGATTCGACAGGTCGAACTCGCGAAGCCGCGTACGACGTGATCTTCGGAAACACGTACACTGTGATTGGAAATACCGGGTCGGATTTCGCGCACGGAGTCATTCGCAAGGACACGCGCGACTTTGCGGCACCCGTGTAGGTTTCCCCGAATCCTTTGATTTGTAAATCGGTTCTTTGTCGCCTGGTCCGTATGGTTTGACAGAAAGATTCCGATATAAAACTAAAATTGGATCCCTGATCCAATAGCGCGCGAACCTTAAAGCGTCGGCCCTCAGCGGTGTGGATGTTCACCCACGCGGTTGCGAGGAGAACCGCGGGAGTCGTAAAGTCCGGCGGCTCGATTGTCTGGACGCTGGCCACGGCAGCGTTATTGGAACCGTCCAAGGCGTCGGACTTCGCATTCGTTTTCACGCTTGGTTTCGCAGCTTCCGAATCTTTTCTGACAGCTGACGATTGATAATTTTCGGAATGCAATAAAGAATGATGAGACCGACTGCAGTGGTTGCATCGCTGTTGGCTCGGGCAATTCGGCGAAATATGCCCCGAGCGCAAGCAATTAAAGCATACACGATTTTTGCGAGCGAGCTCATTTCGTTGTTCAACTGATTTTTGACGAAACGGCTCGCACTTTATCACGAAATGATTGCCTGAGCAGCATATGCACTTGACAGCGGAGACGTTATGCATTGACGAACGCGGCTTGTTTGGCTTTTGATTAACACTTTCTCTTGAAACTTCCGCGAAGTCTGACAATCCGCGGATTCGAGTCGTAAGAAATTCATGAATATCTTTGTACGCCGGAATTGAAGTTATAGAGGAACACTTCAAGTTCCACTCGCTTCGCGTTTTTTGACAGAATTTTTGTGAGACGCAATAAACAAGCATATCGTCCCACTGAGCAACCGGTCGACTCAAATTCGTCAGCGCGGCCAGCGATGCAGCCACCGTGTCTCGCAATCTCTTTAACTCGCCTACGCTTTCATGTTTCATAACGGGCATGCTCATGAAAGCATGCAAGTGAGTATTAATCAAGGTCGCCTCATCATCATATTCGGCAATTAAGAGTTGCCACGCCGATTCGTAATTCGGATCCGAAATCTTTAAATTATTTATTATTAAGGCAGCGTCACCGATGACACTTGTTTTCAGGTAATGAAACTTTTGAGTGTTAGTGAGCGTACCGTTACTAGCAACGAGAGACTCGAAAGTGTTCTTGAAGCTTTCCCATTCGGAAAACTTCCCCGAAAATTTCGGAAGCGTAATACGAGGCAACTGGAAACCATTATTATTACTGTCGCGAAACGAGGAGTCAGTGCTACGATCGAGAGAAGGCGGTGAAGAGACGCTTAATTTACTTATCATATCACGGAGCGTATCGGCCGTCTCGAGGTAGACATCCTCAGCGATTAGAAAATCTTCATCGACGAAGTAGGCAACCTTCGCCCGTTCATCTGAAGACGTAGATTGTAAGAGCTTGACGTGGAGCTCCCTGCAGGATGCCCAGAGCGACGTAAGCTCGTCCAATCGTTCTTGAATTTTTGGCAGGGTAATATTGACCTTAGCCAACTTCTTGTAATTCACGAGCACGCGTTTCACTTGAGAGATCGTGTCTAATTGCGCGATCAACAGATCTTTTGCTGTCGACATTTTTTTTTTTTTTGAGCAACGTCAGTAGTACAGACGGAAAGATTCGCGGACGCTTCCTCTATCGAACGCGACGCGTATGTCTCAAGTTTGACTTGAGACCATTGATTATGTCAGGCGCGTGAACGGCGCGGACGGCAAGAGTTCGCGGACGACCTTGTTGTCGAAACGCGACGAATTTGTCTCAAAAGAGACCACTGAGTATGTCGGGCGCGTGAACGGCGCCGACGGCACGAGTTCGCGAACGACCTGACTGTCGAACGCAACGAATTTGTCTCAAAAGAGACCACTGAGTATGTCGGGCGCGTGAACGGCGCCGACGGCACGAGTTCGCGAACGACCTGACTGTCGAACGCGACGAATTTGTCTCGAAAGAGACCACTAAGTATGTCGGGCGCGTGAACGGCGCCGACGGCACGAGTTCGCGAACGACCTGACTGTCGAACGCGACGAATTTGTCTCGAAAGAGACCACTAAGTTTCGTCTCACGAGTCGAATTGGGTTTTGACGACGTGAATCGGAGTCTACCCGTACACTTGTTTCTCTAAAGCGAACTCGACACTTGGTTCCTGTCTCTTCTTTTGCACACTCGTTTGTAAGACGATGTGCTTCTATTGTCCACCCGCG